AGGCCTGGCGCAATATGGTTCATGGGGTCACGAAGAGTCGGACACGACTTAACGACTAAACAACAACAAACAAGACTATTCTCAGACAGAAGGGTTATGAATCAGACCCATGGAAGCCATTCCGTTAATACCCCTTGCAATAGGACTAAATTAGCAAGTATAATCAACATGGGTAACTTGGGTACTGCACTGCATGAAAGTTATCTCTTTTGTGAACTATTTCTTGATCTACTTTTCTCAGCCACCAACAAAACATCCTTTTCTGATATGTGTATAGCACAGATTGGTGGTGCTAGGAAACTTGAGAACTTGTATTTGCACAAACAGGTGAGAAGATGCATCTTTAAAAAATACTGGCTATAGAAGCCTGTTATTGGTAGGCTTTTTGCTGCCAAAACAGAAACAAAACCTGTAGTAAATAGTGGAGGGTCAATGAGTGTGTTCAGAAGCTGGGAGCAAACTTTCAAGCTACGTGTTCTTCTGCGGGCTTGGAATTTTGAGCAGGGAGAAAAACTAAGCACAGTTATATTTTGACAAAACATTAATGCATCAAAACTGTCTTTTGCTAAGGCAGATCATTGGCCTATCCCAGTGTTTCTCAACCTCAGCAATTTTATGAGGTCTGGACTTCAACTCCCAGAATTCCCCAGCCAGCATAATTGTCTTTGGATTAAGTGGTTCATTTTTCGGGTGGGGGGCTCATTCCCACTCCATTCTGGTGGTCTAGCAATGTAATGGGTTCTAATAACTTCTTCCTTCTGTTTCCAATGTTCAGAGAGTGCATGCCATATTAAGTAGCCCAAATGGTATCCCTTACATAGGAGGAGGAATTATTAGCAACCTTGGAAAATTTGAAAGTTGGACAGATTAAAGAATAAACACCGGAAAATAGTTGAAGGGTTTACTCTCAACCCATTATCCAGCAGTGATTACATATGTTAATTGGAATGAATGTATATTACCTGTTGAAGAAAACCCTATTTCAGTACCGCTTCATGCTGTGAGTGCTGTGGTTTTTGCTGCATTTCATTCCGTTTCAACAGTGAATATCTTGCCCTTCAGTAGTACCTTTTCAGAATGAGTAGAACTCAGGATGGAGACGGGTCTTTCACAGGGGGCTCCTTAGTTTCTGAGTTAAGGGATTTGTTGACTTGCTCGTCTTCTGATTTAGAGCCGATCTTTGTGTCCTTCTGAAGAATGTGCTTTGGTTTCAGAAATTCCCAGATATCCCTTCCAAAAGAAGAGCCGTGAGCCTTTAGGCTGTACAGGGTTTCCCATTCGGTCATAATTCAGGGAAGGGCACGGCTGCTTTAAGATGCTAAGGCAGGTGTGACATTCACACCCCTGCGTGCTTCAGCCCATCCTTTGGAGATCAAGCGCAGAAGTGCTGCCAGCCCCACTCGTCTCTTTGTCCACTTCTCCTGGCATTCCCTCTGCCTTCCCTTTGCCTGGACTGCCCCTCAAGCTGCTT